CCCCGTCCATCCCTGGAGGTGTTGGAGGCCAGGTTGGATGGGGCCCTGGGCAGCCTGGGCTGCTGTGAAATATGGAGGTTGATGGCTTTGCATGCAGCAGGGCGGGGTTGGAGCTCTGTGATCCTTGAGCTCCCTCCCAGCCCAAACCATTCTGTGATGGTGATGAGCTCTGCAGGTTGGGAATGGAGGAGGTGCTGCCTGTAGGGATGCAGTGCCGTGCTGACATTTACTGGGGGGATTCTCATTGCTTTTGGCCCCAGTGTCCCCCCTGCAGTGCAGGGCTGTGAGCTGCCTGTTGGGGTGAGGTCTGCAAGGCTTTCTGAACGCCTCTGTGTGGGCAAAGGTTTTCTGCCCCTCAGATCCCATTGGATCTCTGTGCTTGGAGTGGGGGAGTGCAGGGGTAGGGAAGCAGAGCTATTTGTTTAGCAGTCATCACTGAGGGGGCTGCAGTGCTGCTGCAGGGGCTTTGAGGCAAGCATTGGTGGCATCCTGAGATGCCTTTTGTTTTTCTTTGGTTCTTCCCAGTGCTTCTAGGATGGTGTTGGTTTATCTGGGGTTTGTCTGGGGGAGATGGAAGAGCTGCAAACCTTTGGGGCAAGCATTGGTGGCATCCTGAGCTGCATTTTGTCTTCCTTTGGTTCTTCCCAGTGCTCCTTTGTTCCCTAGGATGGTGTTTGTGGTTTATCTGGGGTTTTTTGGGGAAGGTGGAAGAGCTACAGAGCTTTGGAGCAAGAATTGATGGCATCCCAAGTGGCTTTTTGTCTTCCTTTGGTTTTCCCAGTGCTTCTGGGAAGGTGTTGGTTTATCTGGGGTTTATTTGGGGGAGGTGGAAACACTGCAAACTTTTGGGGCAAGCATTGGTGGCATCCTGAGCTGCATTTTGTCTTCCTTTGGTTCTTCCCAGTGCTTCTATGTTCCTTGGGATGGTGTTTGGGGTTTATTTGGGGGAGGTGGAAGCACTACAAGCCTCTGGAGCAAGAATTGGTGGCGTCCCGAGTGGCTTTTTGTCTTCCTTTGGTTCTTCCCAGTGCTTCTATTTCCTGGGATGGTGTTTTTGGGGTTTATTTGGGGGAGGTGGAAGCACTGCAAACCTTTGGAGCAAGAATTGGTGGCATCCTGAGCTACCTCTTGTTTTCCTTTGGTTCTTCCCAGTGCTTTTGAGTTGATGTTGATTTATCTGGGATTTATTTGGGGGAGGTGGAAGAGCTGCAAACCTGAACACTTCTGGAGCTCTGAATGTTAAAGAGCACGGATGGGAGGTGCAGGGAGAAACACAGAGCTGGCAGTCCTGACCCATGTGGGCACTCACAGCTCCTCTCACACAAAACTCTGAGATTTCACAGCATTTTTTACCCCCCTGCGCGAACCCAAATTATTTCCTTCCCCCTTCCTTGCCCCGACAGCTCTTTGCCCCGCTGCTTTTCCTCTCGTACATCCATAGTCCTGACTCTATGTTGTCTCTGCAGATGCCTCATTCCAGAAGGTTCCGCTCGTCGGAGCGCAGCAGCCGGGGCAGCTTCCATGAACGTTACAGGAGCCGCAAACACAAGAGGCGGCGGTCGAGATCCAGCAGCAGCGAACGGGAGAGGAGGCACCGCAGGGAGGGCAGCTACCATGTCCGCTCCAGGAGGTGGGTGGGGGGCTGAGGGGGGGAGGGCAGCCCTGATGGGATCCCTTGTTTGGGTTGGGGGAGGTCAGCCCGCTTTTGGGAACTCTCTGCCATGTTGTGTTTATGGCTGGGAAGGGGATTGTAGGATCAGAGGGTGGTCTGGGTTGGAAAGGATCACAGTGGTGATTGAGTTTCGACCCTCTGCTGTGTGCAGGGTTGCCAAACATCAGACCAGGGTGCCATAAGGACCCACAGGGTGCCATAAGGACCCACAGGGTGCCACAGGGGCCCATAGAATCATTGACTCATAGGTTGAAAAGGACCACAATGCCAATCAGTTCCAACCCCCTGCTGTGTGCAGGGTTACCAACCACCAGACCAGGCTGCCCAGAGAACCCATGGGGTGCCATAAGGATCCACAGGGTGCCATAGGGGCCCACAGAATCATTGACTCATAGAATGGCCTGGGTTGAAAAGAACCACAATGACCATCAGTTCCAACTGCCTGCTGTATGCAGGGTCACCAACCACCAGACCAGGCTGCCCAGAGAACCCACGGGGTGCCATAAGGATCCACAGGGTGCCATAAGGATCCACAGGGTGCCATAAGGATCCACAGGGTGCCATAGGGACCCATAGAATCATTGACTCATAGGTTGAAAAGGACCACAATGCCCATCAGTTCCAACCCCCTGCTGTGTGCAGGGTCACCAACCACCAGCCCAGGCTGCCCAGAGAACCCATGGGGTGCCATTAGGATCCATAGGGTGCCATAAGGATTCATAGGGTGCTATAGAGACCCACGGGATGCCAGAGGGACCCATGGAATCATAGAATCCTGGAATGGCCTGGGTTGAAATGAACCACAATGACCATCAGTTCCAACTGCCTGCTGTGTGCAGGGTCACCAACCACCAGCCCAGGCTGCCCAGAGAACCCATAGGGTGCCATAGATACCCATGGGATGCCAGAGGGACCCATGGAATCGTAGAATCCTGGAATGGCCTGAGTTGAAAAGAACCACAGTGACCATCAGTTCCAACCCCCTGCTGTGTGCAGGGTTGCCAACCACCAGCCCAGGCTGCCCAGAGAACCCATGGGGTGCCATTAGGACCCATGGGGTGCCATTAGGATCCATAGAATCATAGAATGGCCTGGGTTGAAAAGGACCACAGTGATCATCAGGTTTCAACCCCCTGCTGTGTGCAGGGTCACCAACCAGCAGCCCAGGCTGCCCAGAGCCACATCCAGCCTGGCCTTGAATGCCTCCAGGGATTGGGCATCTTTAGGTAACCTGTTCCAGTGCTTCACCACCCTCTGTGTGTAAAACTTCCTCCTCATATCCAATCTAAACCTCCCCTGTCTCAATTGCTCTTGTGAGGCCCCATCCAGCACTGCATCCAGGGCTGGGGGTCCCAGGACAAGAAGGACAGAGAGCTGTTGGAGAGGGTCCAGAGGAGTCACAAAGATGAGCAGGGGCTGCAGCACCTCCCTGCAAAGACAGGCTGAGGGAGCTGGGCTTGTTCAGCATGGAGAAGAGAAGGCTGCAGGATGATCTCATTGCAGCCTGCAGTACTAAAGGGAGCCTACAAACAGGAGGGGAGTCAGCTCTTGGGAAGGGGAGATGAGAGCAGGACGAGGGGAAATGGTTGGAATTGAGGGAGGGCAGATTTCAGTTGGGTGTCAGGGGGAAATTCTTCACTATGAGAGTGGTGAGGTGCTGGAACAGCTGCCCAGAGAGGCTGTGGATGCCCCCGTCCATCCCTGGAGGTGTTGAGGCCAGGTTGGATGGGACCCTGGGCAGCCTGGGCTGCTGTGAAACGTGGAGGTTGTTGACCCTGCGTGTGGTGGGGGGTTGGAGCTTCGTCATCCTTGTGTTCCCTTCCAACCTGGACCAATCTGTGATTCTGTGACTCCACAATTCTACTCCCAGCCCCAGCTCTGCTCCCCCCCTAGCAAACCTCCGGTGATTCAAATTCCCTGAGTTCCCTTTCCACCCAAACCACTCTATGATGCTTTATGTGTGATCCCCCAACCCAAATCATTCTGTGATTCTGTGTGTGATCCTCCAACCCAACCCACTCTATGATTCTATATTTGTGATCCTCCAATCCAAACCATTCTGTATGTGTGATCCTCCAACCCTCTGTATGATTCTTTATGTGTGATTGTCCAACCCAATCCACTCTGTCTGATCCTTCAACACGTTCTGTGATTGTGTGAGATCCTCCAACTCAAACCATTCTGTGATTCTGTGTGTGATCCTCCAACCCAACCCACTCTATGATTGTGTGATCCCCTAAGCCAAACCACTCTGATTCTTTCTGTGATCCTCCAACCCAACCCATTCTGTCTGTGTGATCCTCCAACCCAACTCACTCTATGATTCTGTCTGTGTGATCCTCCACCCCAACTCACTCTGATTCTGTCTGTGTGATCCTCCAACCCAACCCACTCTGATTCTGTCTGTGTGATCCTCCACCCCAACCCACTCTGATTCTGTCTGTGTGATCCTCCAACCCAACCCATTCTGTCTGTGTGATCCTCCAACCCAACCCATTCTGTGTGTGTGATACTCCAAGCCAAACCACTCTCTAATTCTGTCTGTGTGATCCTCCAACCCATTCTGTCTGTGATCCTCCAACCCAACCCACTCTGATTCTGTCTGTGTGATCCTCCAACCCACTCTGATTCTGTCTGTGTGATCCTCCAACCCACTCTGATTCTGTGTGTTATCCTCCAAGCCAAACCACTCTGATTCAGTGTGTGATCCTCCAAGCCAAACCACTCTCTGATTCTGTGTGTGATCCTCCAAGCCAAACCACTCTCTGATTCTGTCTGTGTGATCCTCCAACCCAACCCATTCTGTCTGTGTGATCCTCCAACCCAACC